TTTCATTCTTAGGCCTATCCATATTGCCTTTAGTCCATAGTGAAAAGAAGGGGAAGGGGAGGAGGGGAGAGGGGAAGAGCAAATGTTACCAAGACTATTCGAGAGGCGAGGCGGTAAGAGGGGCCGAGGGGGGGAGGGGGATATATACAAAATTACCAACAATTGTCAAATCAGTGTGGGGGTCCCAAGTTAATGATAAAATTGGGTTCTTCCTATAGGCCAAGCGCAGTTATACCAGGCTACCCGTTCCTGAGATGCATACCTTCAGTTAGCACCACTGCCTTTCGCGATTCACACACATTCGTGATGGATTCTTCCTCCAGGTGAAAATGTAATGATAATAACTGTGCAATAGTCTCGCACTTTCAACTCGGGGACCACAAAAGCTAGGCGGCTGAAATTTTAGTACAGTGTTCCCCGCCAACGTGTGACACGGCAAATCTAAATTCAGCCTTCCTGTATCCGCGGGTAACTCGTACGGCCTCGCATTAATTTGCATTAAGAGCACACTTAAATTTGTTTTTATAATTGAAAATGTTATTGAAAAAAATATTAAAAATTTTAAATGTTACGAAATTATTTTTGCAAAAAAATTTTTTTATTTTTTTCAAATTTTCAAAATTGCTGCATTATTTTTGCACATTCCGGACACGAATTCAAAATTAAGCGACAATCCTCGCTATAATGATGTGCTTTGTGATACCAACTGTATCATCTTTTTTTTTTCTAATAAAAAATGAAATACCTTGAAAACGTTATCTGCTGTAACATATCTGAAACCGGCCACGGTACACTGTAAATTGTTGAGAGCCTGAAAATTTGTTTTCCACGATAAAAGCTTCAAAAACGAGTAGTTATTGAGTCCAATAAAATGATATATTCATTGAACAGTTGTTGCTGTTTTTTTTCCACGATATCCTTTTTCGCCGTTCGCCTAGTTGTCGGTTTTCTAATTTTATTCCTTATGAGCCTAACGCATTCGCTTAAGTTCATAGTGTATATGTGTGACTTTCATCACTTTTTTTTCAGGGACACCAAGACTGCCCAAAAAATCGATAAGCAGGTCTCAGTTCACTGATGTTACTGGGATGCTCTGTTACACCTTAGACGCAACTATACCAGCTTCATTGTTTTTTCCGGCAAATGCTTCTTGCTGAAAGAATTGAGACCGGCCACCAAGATTATCAGAAAACATCCCCTTAAAATTTCAGCTTTCTAGCTTTTCGGGTTTCCAAGTCAGGGGCTTACTCGCCAAAAACTTTGGCAGGTCCGTACGTGGGAGTTACGTGGGTAAGAGCGCCCACTTTGGGGATGAGAGCCTATATGTGCATGTAAGTTAAGTTCTCAAAGTTTCAGTCCTGTAGCTTTGTTAGGTCTTGAGATGAAAAAATGGTACAAACACACACACACACACACACACACACACACACAC